AGACATTGAAACAATACAATTTCTCACTGAAACAGATCCATTCTATAATCATATATAGTTCTATAAAGAATCGACTTCTTGAGTTTTCATCAATTTCATACTCGATTCAAATAGATGTATCTCTTGGTTCTCCCCTAATTTAGGATGAGAAAAATGTACTTGTAGATATATCTTTGTTTTCTAATATCCACTTCATAGGCATGAGTCCTTCAGTCACACACAAACTAAATAATCCGTTTATATTCCAAACTGAGTATGTTTCATAAATTCCACTGATAGGTCAGCAAGATGTCCCTGTAGGAAGTAATACGTTGACAAAAATGTAGGTATAGCTGAACTCCAACCGTTACAAGATCTTGATTATGAGATAATTGAATGTTCTGTCATTTCTCCCCAGTCAACAAAAATATTCGAATTTGTGAAAGAGCTCTTTGTAACATGGAATGTTGAGGAAGTTATTCAATAAGATAGCATTCTTTGTTGAATATCTTGCCATTCATTTTCTGGCATAACTTGAAATCATGCCAGAAGAGAGATATCTATATAAGAAAGAGATTTTTTCCAAAGGGAGAAACCATGTTTCGCAATCTTGGCCGCATGAAAATGTAAATTCTGAGTCATTTCACGCATAAAAATCAATCAACGAGGGATAAGTGCTGCTATTTTCACGAAACATTTTACATAAAACAGGGACATGTGGAAGACCTATATATATATACCTATGAGCATTGGGCGATCACAAATTTACACTTCGAAGAAAATCGATATAGCTGCTGTAGGTTGGATAACTCTGTTATCGGTTTCATAAATAACTAAAGACCATCAGATACTGTGATGCATAAATAATGGTGTTATAATTGTTTCATTCATGATGTCATTACATTTAGCTTCCTATGAACCTATATCGCCAATTTTGTCTTGAGAGCCTCGCTTTTGGTATTGAGGTTCTTGTTGCCTCATTATCAAAACTACGGAGGTAGTAGTAGATCACGACAATAGATGATTTCATGGGTCAGGATTTCATTCAGAGAGGAAGCAGCATGAAATTATTTGAAATGGTGAATTGAATCATGTTCTCACTGCATATATCCGGAATATAATGAAGTAAATCTACGTAGAGGGAAATAACATAACAATGATGACTAAATATGGACGTTGAATTCTTTTGAAACGAGCTTGTGGGTATCTTGGTTGATCAATCTTTTTCGGACATTTTATTTTCTATGAGTCCACTGGGTCGAATTCATGTTTTCATTCCACTTTACGTACTGAATGACCTCTTAATCGTACATGTAGTGTATGATTGAGGAAGTGAAGATTTTAGAGCCCGTTTAGTTGAGGGTTGAAAAAAATGGTTCATTTCACTAACCCATCTCTTCCATCAGCTCTTTTGCAATTTATTCCTCTGCCCATTAATCAAAGGATAATTCGCGTTCACTGGAAACTTTGTCCATATAAACATAATCGGATTGCAAATTTCCACCTTCAAGGAAGAGGTGAATAACTCGCTGTTATTGGTGTCATGAATAACTAGAGAGGACCATCAGATAGTACATAAATAATAGGGATAGTTATTCAATTCATGAGCTCAGTACTACAGTACAGTACAGTACTGTTATTTTTGTCTTCAGAACTTGGCATTGTGATGGAATAAGGTTAATGTTGCCTCAGTATTGAGTCTATATACAGACGTCGCGGTTGATCAAAACAACAAGTAGTGTAGTCGTGAAGGCTTTGATATTTATCTGGTACTAATTCAGCATACTCAAAAGTATATTGATATATTTCTCAATATTCCCAAGATCGAATAATATATATATAATATGGGAATGCTAACGAAGTTACAAGCGTTGATGAATCGTTTTGACGTTTTATCATGAAAATATTGAGCATGTATGTTGCACCAAGTAGCCACGTGGTAGAAGCGTAAGTATTCTTATCGCGATGTATTGCTTTTCGTGGGTTCGAAACCACGACTGCGTTAATTTTTCCGATGACCCAATAAAGTGTAGGAAAAGTTCAAGTTTAGCTACTAGGAACAAAAAGTGTTGTCCAGCAACAAACCTATGTTTGCGTCAGTGATGGAAACTTTGATTCTAGAGGTGACTTTTGGAATTTAAATAGACGACTTTCGTGGCAGTTGCAGAAAATAGTTATTTTTGGCGCAGCCAAGTTGAAATAATATTCGGGATGACCGAAGTATTTCTCGCTTGAGTTGCGAATGAATTGTTTTCTACAAACGTCAGAAAATATATAGTTCTGAAGTAGTGATATATGCTTTACTTTATATAAAAAAATAGTAAGGTGAAATGCAATCAAGGTTACCCTATCAGAGCTTTACGTTGGGGGCAAATATAGATTTTTCTAATATCGTTGCCCAAAATACTTCACATTATTTATTCTCACCTCAATCCATGAAGGTATTTGCTCACTCACTCATTGATAAATTGGCTTACCTACCTAAAATAGATGAATTTTCAAAATATTCGTCAGTTATCCCTTCAAATGTCTGGGAATTGCGGCAGAGAAGATATACGTTGTTCTGACATTGTATAGTATGTTAAACATATGGTTAGGTTAGGTTAGGTTCCATGTGAGTGGGGCGAACACCTCCCCTCCACTGCGACCCCAGATGGGTCTATTGTGGCTCACCCCTAGAGGTTACAGTTCACCGTACAATCCACATCTTTTTACAAAGTTCATGGTTGAATTGGGTGAGATTTGTCTGAAATCGATAGGTTCTAGGTTGGTGAAGCCAAATGTGTCGAACCTTAGTCTTTCTAAGCTAGAGCATGAACATAATATGTGTTCAGCCGTTTCGTCTTCCACACAACAGAACCGACAGTCCGTTTGTTGGTTCAGACCCATCCTTCCCAGGTGGTATCTTAGACGACAGTGTCCCGTAAGCAGTCCAGTCAGAATTCGCAGGTTACCCCTGCTCCATTCTAGGATCTGCCTGGTTATTTTTTTCGATGGTTCAGGCAGGAACGCCTTCGAATGGGTTAATCCTGATAATTCGGACCAGTACGTGAGTGTTCTTCCCTCCGCCCAGGCCGAGATAGTTGTTTTCGCCGCACTTGCGGTGACCCCAAAATATGGTTCTGGTGCTATGAACACAGATTCGGTTCCCTGTTTGGCGAGGATGTCGGCTTTCTCGTTACCCTCCACCCCCTGGTGTCCAGGCACCCACAGCAAAGTGACTCTGTTTTTAGCACCCAGGCTTTCTAGGGATTCAATGCAGCTCCATACAAGCTTGGAATTTATCTTGCTGGAGCTCAGTGCTTTAAGAGCAGCCTGACTGTCTGATACAATACTGATATTTTTGTTTACTAGAGGTTTATTCGATAACTCTCTAGCACACAATGCAATTGCGAATACCTCCGCCTGAAAGATTGTAGCATATTTGCCGAGATTGACGGAAATTTTCGTATTCGGTTTTCTGCTGAACACACCGGCTCCCACTCCACGAGGGGTTTTCGAACCATCTGTGTACATTACGTGTTCGGTCTCTGGGAATCGGACTGATCCGCTTGCCCATTCGTCTCTCTTCGGGAAGAGGACTTTGAAAGACTTTTTCACGTGTGTCTGAGTGGCCAACATGTCGGAAACCATTCCTAGAGTTTGGTGATTTTTTGTTTCACACAGTATCCCGGAGTGGTCCAGCAGTCGCCCTCCTCTGATTTGATTTTCCAATGACAGGAATCTGTAGAAAACCATCTTGGCTTCCCTCTCCAAGACAATGTGGAGGGGAGTGAGGTTCAGGAGGTTTTCCATCGCTGCCGTTGGAGTAGAGGACATCGCCCCTACGTTAAACATATAGTTTGGAAGATGCTTCGAAGATAGGATGCTTTGAAGATACCATGACAGAGATAGAGGAAGAAGGTCTCGGAGAAAGTAGTAAAACAACAGCAAAGTACAAATAATAATGGTGGAATTATGAACAAATGAACAAGTGGAAATAACTAATTTGTAATGGTGGACAAGAACAAAACAGCACCAGTATACGGATAACTCATTTTTAGTAGTATAGATGGAGTCTAGATTTCTCATTCGTGAAGTGGTAAAAATGAACCAAACAGCTAGAGGATGAATTACTTATTTGCTGTAGTAATCAAGAAAACCATTCAGGTGCTTCAGCACGTCATATTTTCTGAATCATATACTTATTCTTTAGTGAAAATATTTGAATAATGTTGTAATTGGCGCCAATTCAACAACAGAGTTTGGTATCAACTTGTGGTATTCACGACGTACTATTTATTTTTCACCACTTAGAAGCTATCGATATGTAAGTACCCACTATGTGAAAACGTGAATATACAACCACAAAGGGGGCCAGGTTGCCGTGCGGACAGAGTGTCAGAATTCTAATACGCATTCGCTTGCTGGTCGTGTGTTCAATTCCCCGCGACTGCATAAATTTTTCTGATGGCCCAAAAGAGTGTGTGGGATCACACGTTCAAAGGTACGGATCCCGTCTTTCCTTGCTCGCACAAGACTCTCGAAGACTTCTGAGGGTTGCTCGTAAGCAGGGTAATGACGGATAGAACATTTTCGCAGGGCGTCCTTGGCCAGCGACGCTCTCTCCGGTTCGTCGCCCGTGAAGCCACTCACAACGTCTTGCTGCGGCAGCACAATGCAATGTATGATTGCTCTTCCTGCATAAACCAAAAAATCTCGGAGACGGCCTCGTTTTCCGTTCAGTCTAGCATATAGTGTCTTTTGACCGGTCGTTCTGCTAGTACGCCATATTATCTACCGACTGACCTTATTCGTTAACATAAAGTTGTTCCCATATCGTCATGCATCTCCCAGAAAACCTTATAGGGATATTTTGAGACATTATTGCGACGTAGTTATTGGTAACAGGAGGACGGCTCAGGCACGTCCTTAGGACATGAAAAATGCGCCTCAAAGGGTATTCGTGCTATCTGGGTAGAGTGAGTGGATCGATTTCACTAGTGATTATGAGTAGAGGCTATTGATATGAAGGTACTCACTATGTACTCTTTGGACTGCGTCCGGTGCGTGAACACGTAAAAGTACGACTGCAGATTGAGCGCGGCGTGGTACCTTCCTGTCTGCACTACAGGCGCGACAGACCTGGCATCAGACAGGATGTCCAGCAGGGCGTTCCTGGCTAGCGACGCTCTGTCCGGTTCGTCGCCCGTGAAGCCGCCAGCAGAGTCACGCTGCGGCAGCTCACTCTGCCCGTACTCGTCCAGGGTGCGCTGTAGGCACAGCTCCGGTTTCACCTCGCACCTGGAGTAGAAGTAGGCGCGCAGCTGCTGGTCGCGCTCCTTTTCGAGCAGGCCTTGCGTCAGGGCGACGGGGCCCAACAGGTGGACGCTCTCCAGTTCGGTCACTCCGTATATCAGCTCGAATCTGTAACAAGGAATATAGTTCAGTCGTTGGGAATCACAACTAGGGCTAACTCGAAAATGATTCCGGACGTTTTGTAATAGGTTCATAGGATCAAGAACTGAAAATCACAAAATGCAAATTCTGAGACATGCAGCCGGCACCGCCATCTTTCCAAGTTTTTGCTTTCCGGAGAATCATTCTAAATGAAACAGGCTATTCAATAGGTTTCTCCTCATAGTCATAGCTTGCTTACTAGATGAAATTTCCTATGAAATATATTCCTAGCATATTATCTACGCTAAATTTAATTGTTACGGCACAAATGCCCTCGCCAAATTGAAAATGTTGCGTAATCTCTGTAGAGCCGAATTTTGGATATAATATGTGAGTTGAAGGTCACCAAATCTAATGTTTTAGGACTATATAGATGTTTATCGCGAAACAGTATCCTATTAATTCATCCATCTTAACAAAGTTCATGATCGATTGATTTCGATTCAAAATGCCGTTCCTTTTTTTCACACCTCTCAAGAAGTGAAGTACGCGGCTCGTTTTGTTCAACATTATTTTTCCTGTAGGCCTGATCCACTCAGGTAATAACATCATTTTTTCCAATGGCCAGACGGACCTGTCTCATAGATTTTCATATTTTCAACGAGGAAAATGGTAACCTCAGCTTCAGAATTGATGTCAATTTCCTTCAATCCATCAGATTCTCCTTCTGCAGTCGATGAAGAATCTTCAAGCAGCAAAGAGGCCAGTGTCACTTGGCTGATATTTCCACAAGTTTTCCTATTGGAAGTACCGCAAATCACTGATCTTGGCAAGATGGCGGCGCCGGCGGCATGTTTCGGAATGTGCATTTTGTAAATTTCAGTTCTAAATCCCTGAAATATCTTCAATGACTGGCCTGATAGTGAACTAGCTTTCTGCATAAGAAGGTTTAAATTACAATTCTTGTATTTGTTCATTGGTAAATTGCATAACGAACCATTCATTATTCGAGAACAACGTGGAAATGGACTGTTATATCACTTTCTCCTACCATTCTGACCTAAATATACTGATGGATGAACTTCAGGAGCTGATTATCGAAGTTAATTCAGCTAACGATTATATGGTGAATTTTTTGTTTGTCCTGATTCTCAAGAACTCAATACTCGATCAAATTACACCTCAAACGCTATTGACGCATTGATTGAATGTCATTCAAGTTCAGCCTCGACATCAGCGTATATAATTTGCTGAACTAAGTTCTGGAAGAAGATTTATTCATAATGTGCCTTGAAAATCGAACAAATAGCTGTACACATTGATGATAATGAAAATCTATTACTATACAGGGTGTCTCAAAATTACATAGGAAGATTTCAACCACAGTTTCTACGAATGAAAATAGTAAAGAAAGTTCATAAAAACATGAGCCCATCTGGGCAGTTATAGGCATCTGAAAGAGTGCCCAAGATGATGTTTTTTTGTGAATATTTCCAAAGACCACTGTGTTGGGATGACAGAATTTTGTTCATGTATATCACTTTCCATGCCAGATTTGGAAACGTTGAAAATTTTCCGAAATTTTGATCAGGGGCGTGTGAAATATCTGTCTCCAGCTTTTTTCAAATGCAATTCTCGGCAATATGAAAATATCATCATTTTCACCTGGAAATTACATTTTTCTTTAGTTTCGATAGAACCCACCATTTACAAGAGAAATCGATTCTAGAAGTCTGCAGCGTAATAAAAATAGTACTTTTTCTTGATAAGGTAGGTACCTACTATTGTTCAAGATGTTGAAGAAGCGAATATCACCGTATGAGTTTTGGTCGTATCTTAGGAACAAGAATGAATAAAGAAAAAGACTCTGTAATTCTCCGAGAATAAATATAATTATAACAAAAATTCTCATCCTTTGATAGGTTGGTCCATGAAAAAAAAATACAGCTGAAGCGTAGGATGAACAACTATTATATTTTTGAAATTATTTTTTCCATTGTTTCTCTCATATTTCGAGTCAAACATCACAAGTAGATAATAAAAAAAGAGTGTTATTTACTCTCAGATGGCCACATAACTCCCCAGGGGGTGAAAATCAATCTATGTAATTCCCGACCAGACCCTGTATATGAGTGATGAAATAGGGTTGAAGAAAAATTCGTATTATGATTGGAAATTGGAATTTGAAATATTCACATTTGACATCGATTCGTAGGATATGATGAAACGTTTGCTTTCTCCATAAAATCTCAGATTCAATCAAATATATATCTCATCTAATGAAGGAGTTGAGGGACCGATCCCTTGTCCATTTAAGCTGTCTAGATGGAATTTACGAAAATCCCTAATATTAAATCTGCCCGAACCCCAACAATACTGGTCGATACATTCATGATATAATAAGACCTTAAAGGGAAATCCAAGGGCATATCATGTCCGTATTACAAAGCATTGCTCTGCTTGGAAAAAACTCGATTGGATACACGTGTCCGAGCATCAGACAGAAGGTCTAGTTACAAAGTTACTAGTGTCTCGTCTTGTTCCCCCAGACAGCACTGGATATTCATAGAATATTCTCTAAATATGCTAAAAAGGAGGAGTATATTCCGAATATTCATCGATTATTCCTAGAATATATACATGCCACTGGAACATCTAAAAGGAATATTCCAAAGTGAATACTCGGACATGTTCAGGGAATATTCAGGTATGAATCTTCCAGGTATATTCCCAACTGAATATTCTCTGTTGTATATTCATGAAATATACCCAACTGAATATTCTGTGCGGTATATTCATGAAATATACCCAACTGAATATTCTGTGCGGTATATTCATGAAATATTCTCAACTGAATATTCGGTGGTGAATATTCATGAAATATTCCATGAATATTCCTTTGTTTCTCAACACATAAATACCATTTATTATTTCAGAGATATGAGTATCGAACATCAATTAGATGTAAGGGGATTTTGAAACAAAAAGTGTTTATGATCCGATTTCGAACAATGCTCTCACAAGAACTTGATATGTATAACATTATTCAATTCGATTATTGGCCTAGTGGTCAAGGCGTTGCTCTGATAGTCTTGAGGTCACGAGTTCGATCCCTACTTGGGTCACTTTTTTTAATTTTAGAATATGTTTATTGGAATATTCCAGGAATATTCAACATAGAATATTCTTTTGGGTATATTCTATGATTATCTGAGGAATTCCCATTCGCATATTTAGAGAATATTCCACAGATATTCCGGAATATTCCAGATCATTTCTAGAATATTCCAATATTCCAAAAGGAATATGATAGGGAGATTCATGGAATATCTGGTGCTGTCTGGGCCACTTATTCTCTACGGGTGGTCAGTATGTAGCTAACACAATCATGACAGTTGAATCAACTACTTTGGAACACGTCGTGTGGAATCTCGTCTCCAAGGAAACGACCTGGTAAATAAACGGTCCGACGAATTTTCAGCTATTTATGTCTCAACAAACAAAATCAATTCAAGCAAGGGCAGATGTTACGGATGGAACGTTACATTTCATTCGTAGAATATATTTTTATGAAGGAAGTAGACAAATCAACTTTCTGGAGAAATGTATATAAAAATAATAATTGTACAAAGTACTGTAATCCATGCGAGGTAATTTATTTGGAAATTGTAGCAGAGTGCCTTCGGCCATACTATCATCATAAGTTCAAATACCTGTAATACACTGAGGAAACTCGGCCAAGTAAATCGTTTCCTAGGAGAAAAGTTGATTGTGACCAGAATATTTTCATCAACGGTAGGAAAATGAAGTACTTGAAATATGCAAAACAATATTTCAGGAACAATGTTTCAGCTGTAATTGGAAACTTGTAGGTATCAACCAAATCGATATGTATTCTGAGTTCGCTAATTATAAGTGAACACTGATCTAGAGCTAAACGAATACTCATTACTATTAAATTATCTTTCAGAGACAAAATCACTTGTTCTGGTCGAACTCATTTATGAAGACAGTCTATCGAGTCGATTGGTGCAGGTAAGAGCTCACATGTGACTATACACAGGGTCTTTCTTAATGACATGCTAATATTCAAGGGGGCAATTCTTGGACCCATTCCAAGAAGAGAACTCCATATGAGCGTATGTCGCAAACTTCCTAAATTTTGAGATACAGGGTATCAAAGTTGAAAATATACATAGTTTTTTTTTTGTCCACCATTCCATGTCCATTTCCTGATGGCAAAATGTATTATGCTATGTGACTGAAACCGTGCAAAATTTTGAAAATAATACACACTGTGGTTATCTAGTAATAGCTGTCCTGAATGGAGTACTCAAGCTTAGCATCTACATCAAAATTTGAAGTTTGTTCTCGTTTTTTCGTTTTTTCCCGAAAACGGAGCATTCTGTCGGGTATCAACAAGATGATCTTTCTTGTTCAAAATTGAATGGCTTTTTATAGCATTTCATTGAGTTTGAAAATACTCCGTCGTTGCTCACTTTGAAGTATGATATAATCAATTATATCTTCCTAACGGCGCCACTGGTAGGGAAAAGAGAAATTTGTGTACATAAAAAAATTCACCTTGATGCATAGAAGATATGTACCAAATTTCATCAAGATGACTACAATATTATTCCCGTTATTATTGGAAAACTGATTTTCTTTTCAAAACTTTATCACACTGTATCTCAAAAGTTAGGACTTTTAGGACATACCTCAGTAGAAAGTTTTTTTCCTGAAATGCGTTGAAGAATCACCCCCTTGAATATTAGCATGTCTTTGAGGAACACCCTGTATATTCATATTTCCTTCGTTCAGACATCTCTGATATATTATTCGGGTGCCTACGCCCAACGCGATCACTCACACTGTCCACGGATTCATTATGAATTATAAACCATGCGTTCCTGATAGTGAAATTGAAATTTCAAGTCATGCAAGAGTGCCCTTCTGAACAACTGCTATTCACCATTTGTGTGCCGCGCTCTGAGCTGTGGGGTGTTGAGTTCTTGATCTGGTGTTCTTTTGGAGAAGATAATGAAATACACTTCCAGAACAGTACATAATTGTTGACATATACAGAATTCCTTTCCACTTACGATGATACTACTTTCTTCCACAAGTGACGCTTTATTCAAATTTCACTTTTTCATCTTCATGAATCATGGATCTGATGGACCGTTCTTCTCGGCGCATGACACAGATGAACAGGTATTTAGTGTATCAATATTTGTCGTCAGCCTTACCATTTTGTGATTTCTGGCTTCATCATAGCTATACAATGAATTTTTCAAATGCATGAGTTTTATTCTTCTTACCAAGGTTATCATTTTTCACAGAACAATATCTATATTTCTTATAGTACCTAGCTGATGACAGGTAAATAAGTCACTAATGACATGTGATCAGGTCACTAATGATGAACGAACAAGTCACTGATAACAAGTGAATAGGTCACTAATAACAAGTGAATAAGTCAATGATGACATATGCTGTGTTCACTCACGATTATCAATCTGAAATTCATTGGGAAAAGTGAATAATGGTATATGTGTAAATTTTCTGAAACAGATATTTTTGTGGTCATTTCCTTGTTGCCTTGTCCCAAATAGTATGCAAGTTCCTACTTGCCACTATCAAATATATACTTCGGGTTTTCGTTTTTTCTATCCGTGTGACTCTATATTCCTCGAATTATCATTCATCCATATGAATGAAATGTTATTGTATATCGCTACTTCGAAGTTGGGAACAAACTCTCCAGACGTCGAAAGTTGCACGGGCTAAGAAGAACAGGTCCTACAGCTTATAGTGGATTACGAAACTTCTAGGACATCGAGGTGCTGCCAGGATCACAACCAAGAATCACACATCTTCAAGAAAAATGCTCAGTTAAGCCGAACTCGAACAGAATAACTTTTATTCACGTCATGAACGCATATTCAGCAAACTGATTTCTACCTATTTCATTAGCATACAAGTTTGAGAAGTAACATGCTATATTCTGCTTTTTCATATCAACTTCGAGATACTACAAGTGATGTGAATTTGAAATTTTGTCAATCAATTTTCCATAGGTATATGTACATACTAGTAGTAGTAGAGAAAAGGGAGGCGGTCGCCCCCTATAGCAAGTAAGCCCCAGCGCTATTTGTGCCGACCCCTGCTGCACACGTCATGTGCACATAATATCTACTATTCCTTCTCCTAATTCTCCTTCTTGAGCCCCCGTGGATTCCTGATGAAGGTCAGTATTTCCACCCGCCTTAGTAATTTGATCTTTCTGTTGAAGCGTATCAGTACCAGCAATTTCGAATTTTAGCCTCACATAAAGCCTCACACTGGCCCAGGTAGGGGTATGTCATCCTATATAAAAGATGCAGTTACGGCATCAATGGACTCTTAGCCAATTGATTGTTGATCTCTACCCAATTGAGGTGGCACAAAATCACTATTTGAGAACGTCGACATATTAAAACGTCATAAAATAATTTCCGCTTTCATACACTGGTGAGTACCCACAAGAAAAAAATTTTCACTTAATACATTTATTATGTTGCTATAACTGTTTGAAAATCACTGTAGTGAAATTTTCAACGAAATTCTCCGTACTACCAGCATGAGCTGAAACGGTCAATATGCTGGAGGTCAAGTACGCTGGATCGATGCGATCACTCGTTCCAGCATGATCGTCGAACAGGGTTGGCCATGCACATCGGTGAAGACTACTCTGGATCGGAATAATGCCCGGATCTATATCGGTACGAGTCGGTGCACCGGAACAGATTTTCCAGAACCGATTTTCTCGGGTCGTTGCGCCGCACAGGAAAATACACTAACGGAATGGTCATCGTCTCGAGAGGGATTAGTAGGGATCTTGAGGAACGTGCAGGACGCTGATCAGATTATCTTGTTGTTGTTACGAGTTAACGGTGGGGAAAGTGAATGGATAGTATGAATATTTAATTAATTCGAGTTTGCCACACATTGTCGCTCACGACATTCTTCCATCAATAATCATACTATAGGAGGTGGTAAACATTTGTGGATACAATTGATAGAAATTATGAGACTTGGAAATGTAATTATATTCTGAGAAATGTTACATCGATAACATACTATCAAATCATAATATACCAAGTATATAACATAACTAGTCACCATATTACTCCCACCCAAGATGAAATTGTGCTTTTTTTCGAAATCAATTTCTCCTTATTGGAGTTTCTTCTGAATTGTAATTTGTAATCTGCATTTTTTATTTTTCAAGAAAACAAGGGTCACTAGTTGTGTCATATACTTGGAATATTATGATTTGATAGTCTGACATTGATATGTCTTATGAGGTGATGATGTCATGTGGCATGGTTTGGAAATGTTATTTTTTATGGTCTGGTTCCCACGAAAACCCAGGAATTGGTGTTCTCCTTGAATTTCTGAAGGTTATATGCCTCGGGCAACACTTCCCTCAGCCGACTGACTGACTGACTAACTAACTAACTAACTAACTAACTGACAGACTGACTGACTAACTTACTAATCAGCTAATCAACTAACCAACTTAATAACTAACTAGCTAGCTGACTGACATCAACTAACCAACTAACTTTCTAACTAACTAACTAACTGATTGACTGACTAACTAACTAACTAACCAACTAACCTACTAAGTAACTATCTAACTAGGTAACTAACTAACTAACTAACTAACTAACTAACGAACTGACTGACTAACTAACTGAGCAGATAACTAACTAACCAACTAACTAACCAACTAACTGGCTAACCAACTAAATAACTGACTGACTGACTGACTGACTGACTTGCTGGCTGACTGACTGACTGACTGACTGACTGACTGACTGACTGACTGACCAACTAACTAACTTACTAACTATATAACTAACTACCTAACTCACTGACTAAGTAACTAACTATTCAACTGACTAACTCACTAACTAATTTACATACTAACTAACTAACTAACTAACTAACTAACTAACTAACTAACTAACTAACTAATTAATCATCTGACTCACCAACAAATTGACCAACTAAGTGACTGACTTACTAACTAACTAACCATCTGAGTGAGTAAACCAACATAAAAATAAACTGACTAACTTACTAACTAACTAACCATCTGAGTAAGTGAACCAACATACAAATAAACTGACTAACTTACTAACGATCACACTAACTAACTAAATGACTCACCATAACTAAATAACTGATTAACTATCTAACTAACTGAATGACTAACTTACTAACTATCTAACTAACGCACTGATTAGTTATATTAATGAATGATATGATAGAAATTATATGAATGACTATCGAATTGATTGTGTCATTATCCTACCTTCTGAATAAATCGTTATACTGGGTCATCGATTTCTCCGGTTCACTCGGCACCACGATGGAGTCTACGACAGGCCCAAATCTCGTCTTGTAGTCGGGCGTTATCACGTCAGCAGCCATGATTTCGTCCAGCCTCTTTCTACGCAGACACTTCGCGAAGTCATCGTGTATTTGACAGTTGAGCGCCATGGCCACTTGGTACGTCACTTGGGCGGAATTGTTGGCTAACGCCCAATCAGCCAGAGCGGTACCGCCCATTAGAATTGCTCGATGGAATAGGCCTGGAATCGAAGCAAGAGTCATCAGATGCCAGAAATTATCTTGGTTTGTACCAACAAATATCCATGAGATATATCGGAGTTATAAAAATTCACAAATTCATTCTATGATATAGGTTGTTGAAATCAATGTTTTTGGTTTTTCCAAATAAATTCTGTGAAGAAAAGTTACCCGTGGTTTTATCGAGGTCAAAGATCGAAATTGTTCACGGAATTGTGTTGCCAAACATCACCACGAGTCCAACAGGGCGAGTGGCATTTTTTCTAGAAGAATGTCTTCATAGCAGAATTACAATATCCTTAAACCTTTCCGATCAATCTGTGAGTCACAAATAAAATGCTTGTTCTGGAATCGATCGGTTATGAGAGTGATGTACCTGATTAGTCAGCAGGATAGTGAATCAAACATCAAGTCATGCACTTTCCAATAAATATTCTATGATATAGGTTGTTGAAGAGGATTTTTCTGGTTTTTGCAAATAACTTCTGTGAAAAAATGAGTTACCCGTGGTTTTATCGAAAATCATAATTTTTATAATTCTCATGTAGCGCCTGAAGAGTACTGCTTACGCTGTCCTAATTCATTTCCCGAACCCTTTTGACAGCGGTGAACCTCTAGCACTTTTCATGAAGAACCTTATTCTTACCACTCCATTAAGTAATTTAGGCACATTTCCTCAAAAACGCTGGAGGTGATCGTTTTCGAGTTATTCACAAATTCCTATATCGATGCACGTTTCTTACATGCTAGAGCGAGTGCTAAGTGAATTTGCTGAACTAGGGAATCTGGAGACATGTATCAGAAATGAATCGAACCTTTTCTGTGCAAATTGAATCGAAGAGTACTTTCTCAAGAATTTTCATATCAAACTTCTAATACATCTGTCGAGAATATATGAGAAATCTTCTGAGATAAGATAGTTTCTGAGACGAGTGCATACCTCATTACAAACGATGATTTAAAAAAAAAAAAAATTGTAACTCTGTAATCTGCTTTTCAGTTTTTATCGAAAGAAATTTCCATCATTACTCTCTCACAAACATCATATATAATTAATTCAATCATATTTTCAATGTCTCCTTGAGAAACAATGTATCCTTCATTAGAAATGGTAAAATGTTGTTTAACTGAATTGTGTAGACTGAAATCATCTGGAGTTATCCAGATCTGATATCATGATTGACACACGAATTTAATGTTCTCCATTCATCTTCATAAGGGCTATGTTCAATATTTTCTCCCTAACTACTTTGAACAGTTCCCTCAATATTTTTTTTATCATGATAGATAGATTTGTATAATTCTCTAGCATCTCAAAATAATGTTTGATTCTCTTCCTGATCTCATACGCGGACTATTATTGAATTTATTGCTTTCATTGTTTCATTTGGTATCATTGGAACTACCATATGAGGAACAAATCAGTTCTGGAGGCTGTTCACTAACGTCGACATTGTTACCTACGTTCATTTTCTTTCAGGATCATCGGACTGATCATAAGGAGGCTGACACAGGCGGCTCCAGTCCCATGACCGAATAAGGTGATGGAATTGATATCACCTCTGAAGGCTGCTATATTGTCCTTGATCCATACCAGAGCAGCAATCTGATCAACCAGACCGAAGTTGCTCTGAGATTGGGTCTCAGTGCCAGCTTTCAGAAAACCTGAAACAAAACCAATATTCATCACTATTCAGGGTATGGGTAAAAGAGTTCGAACGAATTCTAGTCTTGATTCCTTGTTATAAGTCATGGAAAACAGTGCATTTAAAAATTTGTAACATTCATGTAACATAACTGATGCTGTGAACACTCAAGTTTATCGATATAAACTCATTTCATAATTTTTGAAATGAATGCCTTCAAACGGAAGACATATCAGTTTGCTTTGAACATGTTGAAATGTTGTCTATCGAAGATATTCAGGAGAGAAAAAGCATACGAAAATAATTATTCATGAATGACTAGAGATTCCTGATGACACTGTGTACTGAAATTATTTGTTCGATCCCTATTCTGACTCTACAATTTTTATGGATGGGTAACTTGTGATTTGTAGGTTACGTGATATCACAAGTTTTAGTCATCAGGATGATGAAACAAACATTATGCCATGCAGCACTCAGTCTCGTTTCCGATAGGATTGGGTACGGTTGATACCTTCTGTTCTCTGTACTGTAACCAGATGCCCAAATAGATTATCAAGAAATAACATGTGAAGAATTTTGTCATTCTGGTGTGAATGTGAGTTGTGAATGTGAAAGACTACGTAGAATATCGAATTTCCATATTATCATCATAAGAGATATCACGATGTTCTGAATATCACAGATGATGATGTCATTCCATTGTTGACAAAATTGTGTTGCCGAGCAACACCACGAGTCCAACAGGACTAGTGGCCTTTTTTCTAGAAGAATGACTTCATAGTGAGAATACAATATCAACTTTTTCCGATCAGTATGAGTTTCTCAAATGACATCCTTGTTCTGGAACCGATCGGTAATAAGGGCGATGTAACTGATTAGTCATCAGGATGGTGAATCAAACATGAAGTCATGCACTTTCCAATTCCATATTAGATTAAATTGCGCACGGTCGATTCAGGTGGTTTGAAAATGAACTCTCATTATTCACAAGTGATAATTTGTCGTTCATTTCCGTGATTCTACCCCAATTGTGTGTGAGCGTAGGAGTTTTGAAGTGTATGTGTCGTTTGGTGGGGTTAATTGACAGGCGTTCTCCATGTTGGCAATTGCATTTTTCCATTATTTGATTATGGTGGTATTTTCCAGGTGATCGATATTTTGCTTCGGCGTATCCATGTCTTTCAGTCACCCGTAAACATACCACCAGTCGATATATCATTTTCACATGAGCTTTATGCTCAGAGGACAGTTGTTGGTATTTTGCGGTAGCTAACCACTAAGATAATATCGTTTTTCTCTATGCGTTTATCTGGCCCGAGTCGACAAAAATGTACTCCCCTGTATTTATCTTGCATTTGAATATACAATCATTACCTTCCTCGGAATCTCTATTTCTCAAAAGACTTCATAACCGCACCTCGAGAACGATAACCGCAGATAAACTGTTCGAGAAATGCATTCGAGCTTGGAGTCGTGTAAAATAAATTTCCCTCTGCGGAAATCAAGCAAACTAGATGAAAACACGTCGTTTCCCACAACAAAGAATATACCACTTGAATTCCGAGCAGAAAGACGCAATTCTCGTAACAATGAAACATCATTATAATGATACCCTAGGCTCGGTTCAATTTTCTCCCAGTGGCATAATATGACCTCAGTACGCACAAACAATAATTCTATACGAAACAGAACTATTGCCGATGGGGTTATAACAACTAGTTGAACATGTGCCACATATTTGTATTGGATTGATCGTTCTACGTATTTTCAGTATTTGATAGGTTTTCATGATTGAAAATCATCACGATTAGTTCCTGCAATGATGGAAACAATCACCTCTCAAAAACCAGCACCAATGAAAATATATACGCATTCAACTTATAAAAGTAATAATTCACTTTCATGGTAGGAGTGTACTGAAATATACAAAATACGTAAGTCATTCAGTGTGACAATTTGAAAACTAACAATGTGACAAAAACGTGAGGTGTTATTGGAAAGTACTTGAAACTGTTCCTAGGAAAGGCAGTGGAAAATAAAATAACATGAAAGATAATTCTTTCCATCAGCCGCCAAGGCCCCACCTACCACAACCAAAAAAGTTGGGATAGCAAACCCCTGTCATTGAAAAGCTGACCAATGTCAATCTTTGCCAAATTGATATCTTACAATTTCAGAAACAAGCATGCCCTACTTCTGGTACAATGTTGATGACTGTGAGTCCTCTTCTATGAAATTCTGGTCCCCCCTTTCTATCCTAAAAACGGTTTCAAGCATTATTCGATATTTTATCATCTTGTGAGATATTGTCCGTTGTGATTTTTTGAATCATCACAGTGTATATTAGTCGCATTATATTGATTTCAGTATATGTCTTCACGCCTAATCATATTATAGAATATTTTGGATTGCAATTACTTTCCAGAATATATCGAGCGATCTGAGGAGGAATCAGTTTGATGAACTAGTTTGATTTGGTACTTGGACTACTTGGGAAGGGTGAAATAGAATGCACATTAAGAAATGAAAAAATTTCAACGGAGGGTAGAGCTCAGCATAGTGGATCAGAATATACCATCATTGTAGGGTCTTGTCATTTCGTTCAATTCTTTGTGAGGATATAATTCATTAACGAGCAAGTCACGAAAAGAATTCAGATCTGGATTAACGGAAATTAATCATATTTCTGGGCCCCAATGAGAACACTCTGTATTTTCAAATTTCCGAAATTTGATTCTATATTCATAAGGTGCAAAGAAAGCTGAATCAAATTGTGTACTTTTTATTGTTCTGCATGCACTTTTCCTTAAAAGTTTCTGATTTTGAATTTCACGTTTCATACATTAGGATAGGTAAAAATTGAATCTTTTGAGTTTTCCCAATCGAACAAACAAAAATTACTATGAACCACCCAGTATATTCTCTTTGAATTAAAAGTTACTCTTTTTTTCTACCCAAGCGACTAACTTATCAGTCTCAAGAGACATTCAGGTCCAGATTGACGAAAATGTATCATACTTCTGGGTCCCCAAATGAACGAACTGTATGTTCGAATTCGCATAATCTGCTCACTCATGTGGAAAGTGCACAAAAATCTGAATCGAATTGTGTACTTTTCATTATCCGGTATGCTTTTTCACTCATGAATATCTGATTCTGAATTTGAGGTTTGATGATTTGGATAGGTTAAATTGTATGTTCATAGTTTTCCCAATCGATTAACAATAATAACCACAAATAATCTGCTTCGATGTCCTATCGTCAGCATTTGTCATCTGGATGAATCAATATCACTATTGATGACTCATGTTTTACAGGTAAGGAATTGAACAAATTGCATTTAAAGAAATGTGAAGCAATATGACATCCAAAATATTACAAAAAGAACAAGAAAATGTTTTGATCAAAATAGAGGGCGCACTAGGAGCGATTGTTATAATTCTTCGGTTTCGAGTTGGAACGGTATTTTTGTTATTTCTGACGTACTAATATTGATGGAAATGGAATCCTTCCGACAGTGATATATATGTTATTATGTCGATAGAATCGTTCAATAACCAGGTTACAAATGCAGTTGGAAAAACTCATAACATTCCAGTTTTATCTATCCAAATCATGAGACCTTAAATTCAGAATCAGAAACTCATTATGTCTTGAGATATGTTCATTTGTCCATAGAAATAGAGAAGTTACACCGAAAAAATAATGATACGCACAATTTCAATACGAGACAAAAAAATAACTTGCGGATACCCTTTGCCAGATTGAATATTACCAGTTTATCGCCAAACTTCATTGGGCCAAGATTATTCAACAAATTACCTGAATCAATAAAAAACTGTGAAAAGGAAATAAAATTCAAAAAACAAAACAAAATATTCTTAGTTGGCAAAGTTTTTTATACTGTGAACGAGTTTTTGTGTACGTAATATTCCTATTTGTCATATACACTCATTAGTATGTAGGTTTTCTAGTTTTTTTCTTTTTTCAGTTCGTAAGTTTCATAGTTTCTTAGTATCTTTGACTTTTCCTATACAATGTATGTTGTCAGTTATGGGAAATAAATGATTTGATTGATTGATTGATTAGTGGAAGAGCACGCAGGAAACTTACCAGTGAACAATTTGATTAGCTTCTTGAAAGGCCCAAACTAAGATCAATTTTCGTCAATCCGGACCTGGATTCCTCTTGTGACTGATAGGGACAATATATAAGAAGGACTTGTGTATTGAATTTCAAAAAAATGTACTGGGTTGTTCGTGGTAATTATTCTTATTCCATTAGGATAACTCAAAATATTCCATTTTTTCTATATCCAAATCATATATATACAGAGTGACCCATTTGAAAGCGGGCCACCCTTGTATCTCACGTAATCGTTGGGTAAGGATCATGAAATTCACTGGAGCGAGAGATATACCAAAAATGAACTCTATAACCAAGTGGGGTCATCTTCAGACATATACACTGCTTGCCAACAGCCATGGAACTACCCCAATTTCCTGAAAATTATATTAGGAGTCAAAATAGGTTGAAAATCACTCCGGATTCGGAATCAGGACGCCCAATTCACTAACTATTCATATTTTTCCTTGAAAATTTTCAGTTCTGAAACATTACATTTCGTCGCACTTTTCATGGAAGCGCACCCCCGTATCTCTTCTGACTCTTCGAATATGTGAGCGGATTATGGAAATTCTAAATCACAAGGTGTTTTTTTGTGGGGTCAAGAAATATGATCAATTCTCGTTGATCCAGACCTGAATTCTTCTCGTGATTGATATATGAGTCGCTGTACACTTGTGTACTTGAATGTGTCACCTCCCTTTCTCCTAATAATTATCAACATATTTTGCTCACTCAAGAACTTTTCCGTAATAATTTTCCACGAATGTCTTCTATCTGTGCTCAATTCTTCTTCATCATATCAACAATATGTCTAAGTAAAACCATTTTTCTTCGAATGAAATGATTGTTTGCTTAAAAAAACAATGAACAGTTATCCTTCCGATGAGTCAACCTCTTCATCTGCTATATGGAACTGATTTCAGAGATTTTCCACTCACCTAATACTCCAAGTCTGAAATTTATCGTCACTACAATGACATTTCCATAGGCTGCCAAGGTGCTTCCGTCATAAGGATTTCCAGAATTCCATTCGAAAGATTCACCATGAATGAACACCATGACAGGATACTTCCTCGTATTTGTTTCATCTTCTGCAACAAAGAAAATATTATGTTGTTGGTAGAACAATACCGTCTTGGTTTATCATAAGTTGCACTCGAATTTTTAACGAATGAGGAAACGCTTGAATAACCGTATACAACAGGGTGGCCATTTGGAAACGAAACAAAGCCAATTTTGCGCAACCCATTTGTCATTTACGAAAAGACGCTCGGAACCGTCAATTTTTGATTCTAGGAGGAAGCATTGTTTTGCCAGTTTCACCTCCTATCGAAAACCCTCTAACAGGGGTGTCACTGTTTCACAATATGAACATAGAAATATAGAAATGGGCATTTCTCGCCTTGGCAGCAATCTTTTTGTGTTTTGCGTACGAAATTCTATGAACATGTATGTACTGAAACAATCCTATGTTTTCTACTTCAGTAAACGAACAAAAAATGCTTGGCTTATATATCCTACTTTCTCAACCTGTAGGATTAGTTATCTGTGGACAGGTACGATAAACCCGTGGATAAACTTCCATTTTCGGAAATTAGGCACAATATCTACATTGAAATACGGTGTTAATCCGGTAACTTCAAAGAGTTGATAGCAAATACATATTATTACTAACTAAGAAAACAAAATCAACAGTGGTGAACTGTTGAGGTCTTATTGATCATTGAGTAAAATGTAATAAATTTTGAGTTTTTTGATTCCTCATGATTCTAAATGATTGAGTTCCAGTCCTTTATTTTCTACGTGTAGAATTCCGAAATTATCATCAAAACTATGGTTCATATCTACATTTGAATACGGTATACCGGATTGACTTGAAAGAGTTGATAGCAAATACATATTATTACTGACTGAGAAAACAAATTCAACAATGATGAACTATCAAGGTTTAATTGATCATCAAGTTGAATGTCAAAATTTTTGAATTTATTGATCTCTAATGATTGAGTTTCAGTCCTTTATTTTCTACGTGTAGAATTTCTGAATTATCATCAAAACTGTGGTTTTCTTCTAATATATGGTTGGCGTATGTTGAATTTGTCTTCTTTTTCATAAAATTCATCTAATGCTCATGAATGCGCTGATTAAACGTACGACCTGTCTGACCGATATATTCCTCAGAACAAGATCCACAGGTGAGTTTGTATACCCCTGATTTTTCGAATTCAGAAGTTTTGTCTTTATTATTCTTGATAAACCGTCCCAACAAGTTATTTGTACTATATGCCACTTCTAACTCCTGTAGAAATGAAGCTACAGAGAGAATAGAGACAGAAAATTCAATCAATTTCTTAGATTTGACAATAAGTAAAATTAACGATAAACATGATTTTTCAATTCTCCATAAACCATTCCACACTGATATCACTATTCATAAGAATTCAACACACCCCTATCAACATAAAACTGCAGCATATAATAGTATAATACACAGGCTAGTGAATGTCCCTCTTTCGGAAGTAAATTTCAATAAAGAACTCAATATCATGACAGATTACAGTCAACAACGGATACAACGTTAATTTGATAGACAGTATTCTTTCTAAAAAGCTTCATCATGAAGCTATTCAAGAAGTTTATCCTACCATCAAGAATAATAATCAAAATTATAGAACTTCAACCTACTTCGGATCATCTACTGAGAAAGTAGCTTCATGTCTATATAAACAGAACTCTGAAGTGGCATTTAGAACAAATAACACGTTGGGACGGTTCATCAAGAATAATGAAGACAAATCTTTTAAATTCGAAAAATCAGGGGTATACAAACTCAATAACTGTGGATCTTGTTCTAAGGTATATATCGGTCAGACAGGTCGTACGTTTAATCAGCGCATTCATGAACATAAGATGAATTTTATGAAAAAGAAGACAAATTCAACATACGCCAACCATATATTGAAAGAAAACCATAGTTTTGATGATAATTCAGAAATTCTACTCGTAGAAAATAAGGGACTGAAACTCAATCATTTTGAATCATTAAAAATCAATAATTTCAAAAATTTTGACATTTATCTTGATGATCAATTGAACCTTGATAGTTTACCACAGTTGAATTTGTTTTCTCAGTCAGTAATAATATGTATTTGCTATCAACTCTTTCAAGTCAATCCGGTATACCGTATTCAAATGTAGATATTGTGCCCATAATTTTCGAAAATGGAGGTTTATCGTACCTGTCCACAGGTATAACTAATCCTTCAGGTTGGGAAAGTCAAGCAAGCCAACGTTAGTTTAGTTATTTGTACTAGTATGTCACCTGACGAAGCTACTGTGTTAGCGAAACATGTTGTGTGTTTGAGAATTTTGTGGAAATCTTATCGTTTGTCAAGTTTTTACATTTGCAATAGATTTCCATCGAGAAACGGCCAAGTCAAATGAAAAAATGATGATTTCATCAGAAACTGAAGGTTCATAACCTCGTTGTTCTGAATGGCCCAGCTATAGCTCACGCCGTAATCAACAATCAATCAGGGCCACGCCAAAGCATGGATGATGGACGGCGAATAGCTGGAGGAAATAATATGCGGATTTGCTGTTGTGTATTCCTGGACTGAACTCGCTTTTCGTATTTTGAATTGTTGTTTGGATATTGTGAATGTTTTAGCACATTCCATTCGGATGATCACTTTCCAGGTCCTCATTTCCACATTTGGAAACAATGAAACTGATGGTTCGCGAAATTGGCCTCTCCTCTACTTATGAAATATTGATATTTTTCGAATTCAACTCTAACATTTTGGAAGTCGATATTTTGAATTAGATCATATCGTTTTCCTATTTGGATTATGAATCTCGATCACTCACGAGATCGAATCACAGAACTCAAAGACCTCAAATTGGCAAACATGGATCATGTGCATCATACATCTCAATCTAAGTCACACTCACTCGTATTTCAGAACACTAACAGACATGACTCGATGTCATGAGACCAATAAAGGTCTAGATACTATAATTTATATTTTATGTCAATGATAACCAAGGATTATCATAATCATTTCACTTGATTTCCTGGGATTTTCTCTCCCCGTTTCTAAAAAATGAAAATATGAGTATTTCAATTTATTATAATCTTTGAGTGATACCTACATTACACTCACTGATCACCTCGTCATCTCATCACGTCACGTCATCACATTTTACTGCTCAAGATCACTTTGGGTGGCAGTAGAGTCTGAGATATTCAATATGCTTATTTGTTTCATATGAAGTACCAATGATGAGCTGCTGTCTGATCTTTATGATAGATGAACCTATTGCATATTCACTGTTCGCGGAATCTCCCCCTAGAAGTGCTCATTTATGATGAGAAGTACGGAATAATGTACCTAATTGGTGATATTATTATATTCTTAGATAGTCCCTGGTTTTCAATTGAATTATTCGTTTAGCGAGATCTGGAGAATTGGTCATAATATTATGATGAATGAGAAAAGTTAATTGGTTCTAAACATCCTTGAATCATTCTTATTCCTTTTTTTTATTGACTCGGCCGTAACTTCATGGAAATGTGTTAAACATCACAAATAACAAGAATTCCACAAAATTCCTAATAACACATGTTTCGCTAACACAGTAGCTTGTTCAACGTAAACAGGACATAAAAGTTGCCAAAACAAATAACACGCTGAGAATGTTCATTGAATATAATGAAGACAAATCTCTTTAATTAGAAAAATCAGGGGTATATACAAACCCCAACTGTGGATCTTGTCCTGAGGTATATCGGCCAGACAGGTTGAACGTTTATTCACCGCATTCATAAACATGAGATGCATTTTCTGAAGAAGAAATGATGAATCCAACATACCCGAACCATATATTAGAAGAGAACAATAATAGTTTAAATGATAATTTCGATTTTTTACACGTACAGAATGAAGAAATAAAACTCAATCATTTGGGATTATTAAATTTTTACAAACGCAAAAAATCGAATATTCTACTTCATAACGATCAACAGCTCAGCTCGGTTAACCTTTCAATTGATTTCAATTCTTCTGGTTTGGAAGGTATGAAAGGTATGGAATGAAAATTATGCAAGTCAATGAAAGTTCAGTTCATTGTAGAGTGAAGTCGGGCATTTTGGAATATATCCGGTGATATGGAACACCCAGTTTCGGACAAAACTACAAGCGTCATCTATTCCAATTTGATTCAATATCATTCCATCATCAAGTTAATATAATATACTTCCACTGTGTACTCATTCAATAGGTATATATCTATCGTTTTTGACAGATTTCATAGTTGATTTATAGATGATAGAATTTTGGTCAATTCATCCAGATATTCCGAACTCATTTGAAAGTAATTTTATTTCATAATATTATGTATTGTTTCGCTAAGTAGATGAAAGATGTTTGGAAGGTACAATGTAGAGATAGCTCCCATTTTACATAATTTGTATTTGTTCAACTATTTAACCCTCGGAAAGATATAGGCAGCAATTATGGAATAGTATACCTATTCCATATTACCCAACTTGATTATCAAAAACATTAACAGAATGACGAACAATAACTCAGTGACAGCAGTTAGAAGCAGAAGAAGGGATATATCAATTTTTCCATCCACTATAGTGGATATGAATAGTGGATACGAAGCATACGATACAAGCTTTGGGTCCACGCGATGTGTATGATGCCGATGCTGAGAATGATAACTATACTTTTCCGATTTTGTCGTTATATAGTTAGACATATTCCATATTACCCGAACACTTTTTCGGCAAACCAGGAATGTAGTATTTCTCAATAATTCAGCATATAATTCCTCTGTTTATAGTTATCGGAGTTCGTTATTATAATTCGATCTTATAATTGAATTCATATTTCATCCAATAATTTCCGGACCAACCTAAAAAAATTAAACGGTATTCCATCATGATCCTAGACTCTACTCTACGAGTATAGTGGAAATCATATCGTTTGTGGAGTTTATTACATTCATTCACCATTCATTCGTCGAATTTGAAGATATTTTTATTGCCAAAGTTCAGATAAATCAGTATCTATTGATAGAG